TACTAACTACGATCTACTAACTACTAACTACGATCTACTAACTACTAACTACTAACTACTAACTACTAACTACTAACTACCTACTACTAACTAACTACTACTACTACTACTACTACTACTACTACTACTACTACTACTACTGCTACTGCTACTGCTACTACTACTACTACTACTACTACTACTACTACTACTACTACTTTCCATTATACTTCCAAAACCCTCTTACTCTAGTGCTTTCGGTTCCACATGCTGTTTCGGGAGAGTGGCGGTTCGTTCCGAAAGTTAGGGCTTAGGGTTTAGGCTTCAGGGCTTAGGGCCAGGGGTTGGTGCTGCTTGTAGGATTTAGGCTTCAGAGTTTAGGGTTGAGGGCCCTAAACCCTAAACGCTAAACCCTAAACCGTTGAGGTTCCAAAGCAGAACCCGGCAACACTTTGGGTTTAGTGCTGCTGTCAGGGTTAGGATTTCGGGTTTAGGTTGCTGGGTTTAGCGTTTGTTTATCAGAGGCATCTAGAAGGTTTAGGATTTGGGGTTTAAACCAAAAGCCCCGATCCAGAAAAGATAACGAGCCATCCAGACCGTGCGCGCTTGGACCTTAACCCTAAACCCTACACCCTCAATAAATAAATAGAAATTGTATGTCTTCGTTCCCTTGCCCTAAACCCTAAACCCTAAACCCTAAACCCTAAACCCTAAACCCTAAACCCTAAACCCTAAACCCTAAACCCTAAACCACCCAAACATGGAACCCGCTCCAGCCCCAGCCCAAATCCAAAGTCAGGTTTTTTAACATAATTACGGTTTAGGGTTTAGGGTTTAGGGTTTGGGGTTTAGGGTTTAGGGTTTACTTAGCTCTCCAATGCCGAAACTTTAAACTTTTTGGGCTCTAGTCTGAAAGTTTAACATTTTTTTTCCCTGGCTTGTTGGGGAAGTAAGAAAATGCTCAAAACTTTCGGTCAAAACGTTTCAATGAAGACCTATTGGCGCCCAACCCCTAACACTTTCTATAAACCCTAAACCCTAAACTCTAAGGGCTTTAGGAGGGACCCTTAATGGAGACCCTTGTAGGTTATTGGGGTTACTTTGGAGACTACCTGGCTATATAAGGGGTATATAAAAACTATACAACGGTTATTTAAGGTAATGGGATTAAGGGTCCGTATTAGGGGTCCCTCCTAAAGTCCTTAGGTAAACTCTAGGACCCTGAGATTCTAAATCGAGGATCCCCAAACCCTGAAATCAAACTTTAACCTACACTGGATTTAGGGTTTAGGGTTTACTCCACCCTAAACCCTAAACCCTAAACCCTAAACCCTAAACCCTAAACCCTAAACCCTAAACCCTAAACCCTAAACCCTAAACCCTAAACCCTAAACCCTAAACCCTTCCTTACCTCCGAAGCTGGAGCCCCTTACTGCAAGATTGTGGCACGCCCCCCCGAGTCTCTTCCTCTGAAGACAGACCATTAGGGTTACCCTAAACCCTAAACCCTAAACCCTAAACCCCTAAACCCTAAACCCTAAACCCTAAACCCTAAACCTGTACCATGCCCCAGAAATACTCGTCAAAAATCCAGCAGATTTGCAAACCCCTGCAGCCCGAACCCGCGGTAGAGCGCAAAGCGCAACCCTAATCCTTTGCATCCCGACCCAACAGCACATAGTATGAAACTTGAATATATTTGTGAATAATTTCAGTGCTGTTCTTTGTAGGGTTCCTTACTGTAAGTATACTGTATGGTAACCCGAAGCCCTGTTCGAACGACTCAGGCCCCCCTTTGTAAAAGGGTTTAGGGCTTAGGGTTTTATGATTTAGGACTTTAGGGTTTTAGGGTTTAGGGTTTAGGGTTTTAAGGTTTAGGGTTTGGGGCTTTAGGGTTTGAGGGTTTAGGGTTTAGGGCTTAGGGTTTTAGGGTTTAGGGGTCCTTGAGCCCCAGGCGTGCAATGCCTTGGAAGTCAGAGTGTCTTGGTCGAAGGTCATTGTTTTCGGTCTAGGGATGTTTCGGATTCAGGTTTTTCAGGGGTGCAAAACGTTCCTGTCAGGTTACTAATGCTTAGTACCTGTAGTATACTATACCCCCAAACCCTGCTATAAGTATCAAGGTTCACATATGTCTATCTAGTGTGACGGTCAATGCGAGATCCAACTACCGGACTACCGGGTAGCATCGGACACTCCCATGGCCTATGCGTTACAGACTGAAGCCTGCCTGCATGTACGACCAGCATGGAACGTTTGAATGTTCGGGGTTTAGGGTTAATGAGGTCCGTACCAAAACCTTAAACCCTAAACCCTAAACCCTATAGTGAAGTC